ACACAAGCATCCTCTAGGAGCTGTACTCACCGGGCCATGCATCCAGAGATTCTGATTACACTGTACAAGCCGAGGTGAGAACCATAGTTTGATATGCTATCATATTATTAAGTTTAATGTCACATTAATAAGCAATTTGCTTTTGATTATTTAACATTTGGTGAGATTCTTTTTTTTCTCTAAAGATAAAATATGTGCTCATTTTAGAAAACCTGGAAATATTTTGATAGATTTTCTTCACATACATAGCTAATTTTAAAACTTCCTCTATACTATAATTTTGTATCTTGCCTTTTATTTAGTAATTATAAAATTTCCCGAAATAGTAATCTTTGAAAACATGATTTTTAATAGCCCTTAATGTTTAATATGGCAAATGTTCATAAGTAGTTCAGATTTTAATAATGAAAAGATCTAATACTCATTTTATATGTTTATATTTTGAACCATTTCAACTTTTAATATTATAAAGCTATGAAAACAAAACAATTACAGAATAGTGATGGACAAGAGTTCTGGCACAGCATATCAACAACTAAAGGCAAATTATAAATAAGTCTACTCTAAAGGCACAAAAAATGCAAGTGGGTGGCATGAAGAAGTTAAAAGGTGGTAGGAATTATAGCTAAAATGTTTTCAAGAGAATAAAATAGGCATTTAAGGGCAGTTTAAAGAAAACAACGTTTTAAACAAGGTCCTTATCACAAAATAACTTAAAATGTAGTTAGGGAGACAAAATAAACACATAAAAAACTAAAAACAATTACTGGCACGAGAAAGATATTAGCATGTGAAATTGTAAAATAAATGGAAATAAAATGAGTGCAACAGGAGTTTAAAGGAGTTCAGAAAAGACAGGTGTCGGAATAAACCAGCAAACTGCAATTACGAAACTCTCCCTTAGAGAGTAAAGAGAAAGTCAGTAATATTATTTTGTTTATGGCATTCTTCCAGGATCACAAACTATGACATTGAAAATGTTACTGAAATATTAACTGCACAAGAGAAATCAACTGAATATTTATCACTGTCCTAATTACAAAGAGGAATAATACAGGCTAAAAGAAACAGAAGTAAATTAGCAGACAGGAGAGGCAGAACACTGAACCAGGTTTAATAACAGATAGCTTTAAACTTAGAAACGTAAGGTAATTTGCTCCCTTAAGCAGTTAGGCAATACTTGTCACCACACATTTTTCATAACTCAAGGTAAAAAGGAGGTGAAAAGGTAGTAAAAGTGAAGTTACACTGAATCACAACTAAAATACTTAGAATTACTCATAATAAAGAAGAGGATCATAATTCTAAAACAAAACACAATTTAAAGAAGCCCGGGTTCTAAAGAAGCTCGGGTTTTGCGGAAGAAGAAAGACATGGCTCTACACCAGTCCTGCCTCCCACCTCCACCCCCCACAAGCTTGGCACTGGCACACTCCCTTCCTAGACCTGGAGACAGCTGTGCAGGTTAACCAACTGCTAAGCAGTCAGAAGTAACCATGTTTTTTAACTTGCTTTCTTCTCACAATGAAAAAATTTTATTTTTTTTCTTTCTTTATTGATTTTTAGAGAGGAAGAGAGAGGGTCTCAAGACACAAACATCAATGAGAGAGAATACTGATTGGCTGCTTCCTGCATGCCCCTCACTGGGGATCAGGCCCACAACCTGGGCATGTGCCCTGACCGGGAATCGAACCTCGAGGACCTCTTGGTGCATGGGTCGATGCTCAACCACTAAGCCACACCAGCCGGGCTCACAATGGAAACTTTTTAAAGATCCAAAGAAGAAACTAATCTTACCCATCAATTTCAATGGTTTAATTAGTTGTATAAAAGACAAATGCAGATAATATTCTGCAATTCCATGCAAATGACCTAATTTAATAGTAAGAACTTTTGTTCCTCTGATATATCAACAAACTGATTATTTCAAAAGGAATATTATTGTACAAACATGACAGAAGGAAAACCCAATGAAGCGGCATGAAGAAAAGCAGAATGGCAGGGAAGCACTCCACTGACCACTTCCGTGCAGGTCACTTCATTGCCACTTACAGACATGACTAAGTAACTGGGACCCAATTAGCCCTCCCATTGTAAGCAAATAAAACATTGGACAAATATAGGAAACTACTATTTTCACACACTAGATAAAACAGGCAGAAGAGTGACCTGTAACAGCTAGAAAACAAAGTGAGCCCACGACAGCCCCGGCTTTCTTCAAAGGCACCAGGAGTAAAGAGAAAGAGACTGAAGACACAGCGGGGAAAAAGGGGGAGACCAAATGCATTGTTCCAACAACCTTGACACCAAAACCATACAAGGAGATTAGAATTTTTTAAATTTAGAAATAGCATGGGAAAAAACTAGAGACCAGTATCCCTTATGAACAAATAAAAATCCTTAACAAACTATTAGCAAGTCAATTCCAGTATTATGTAAAAAGCATAATACACCATACCTAAGTGGAGCATGTTAATATAAAGTTAGTTCAACGCTCACATTTCAATCAATATAATTGCCACATTAACAGAATAAAGGATAAAAATCCTATGACCCATCTCAATAGAAAAAAAGCATGAAGAAAATAAATCGCCAAAGTACAGAGTGGGAGAAAATATTTACAACACATATATCTGAAAAAGGACTTGTATCCAGAACACTTTTCTTACTACTCAATTTTAAAAGCAAACAATCTTGCCCAGGCCAGTTTGGGTCAGTGGTTAAAGCATCGGTCCATGGACCAAAGGGTCTCAGGTTCCATTCCCAGTCAAGGGCAGTACCTAGGTTGCAGGTTCAATCCCAGCCCCAGCTAGGATCGTGCTGGAGGCAACCACTTGATGTGTCTCTCTCAACATTGATATTTCTCTCTCCCTCCTTCCCTTATACTTCTATCTAAAACAATCAATGGAAAAATATTCTCAGGTGAGGATTAAAAATAAATAAATAATAAAAGCTAAACAACTTGTTATTTTTTTTAAAAAAAGTAGGAATGGAGGTGTGTCAAAAGACTTAGAGGCACTCCACAAAGGAAAATGTATGACTGGCTAATATGCACAATGAAAAAGTGCTAAAAATAAGTGATCAAGTAAATATAAACGGAAACCTAGAGACACTACTACACTCCCAACATCATGGCTCAATAACCAACCAACCAACCCAAAGATTGTTGATGAGGATGTGGGGCACCCAGAACTCAAATACATGCTGTGGCTGTGTAAGGTGACACAACAACTCTGGAAATCTGTCTGGTACTTTCTCATAGATTTAAATATACACCTTCCCTATAAACCAGCAATTCTACTTCTAGGTATTTACCTAAAACAAATAAAAACCTGTATCCATAAAAACACTTAGACAAGAATGTTTATAGAAGCTTTATTCATAATAGACAAACACTGGAAACAATCCCAATTTCTACCAACAGGAAACAAAGCAAACTATGTCTATTCAATATAACATTACTGAGCAGTAAGACTGAACAAGCAACTAATACACCAATAATATGGATGAACCTTTAAAACACTGTGCTGAGCATTAGAAGTCAGAGACAAAACAGTACACATTGCATAGTACAATTTATATGATATTCTAGAACAGGAACAACTAACCCATAGCAGAAAACAACTTCAGAGAAGTAGCTGCTTCCAAAGATGTGGGAAATAGGGGTTAAACCACAAAAAGATGCAAGGAATCTTTTGGGCATGATGGCAATATTCTAATAGGGATGGGGATTACAGAGGTAAATGTACTTGTCAAAAACATTCAAAGTTCAATATCTACATATTTCCTTGTAAAAACTATGTCTGAATTTTAAAATGTTCAAAACAATCACTAATACAATTCAGGTCCAAAAAGTTAACTCATAAGGAATCAAGTACGTTCCTTTTGAAAAGAGAGTAAAATAAAACAAACCAAAACAAAAAAAACATGGGATAATTAAACTCCAGAATTCTGTATCCTTCAGCACAAAAAAAAGGGGGGGGTTGAGGGATGGGGAATATCCTAGGTTATTTAGTCAAATAACAGATACTGTTACCTATGTAACAAAAGCATGTCCTATACATGTCTGAAAGAACTTTGAGAGAGGGGAGTTATAAACGTTGGTGAGCAGCTCTGGCCAGTTTTGCTCGGCAGTTAGAGCATCGGCCGGCAAATCAGAGTCCCAGGTTCAGTTCCCGCTAAGGGCACGTACCTCGGTTGCAGCTTGTCCCTGGCCCCAGTTGGGGTCATATGGGTAACAACCAGTCGATATGTCTCTCTCACACTGATGTTTCACTCCCACCCCCCACTCTGTCTGAAGATAAATGCAAAAAAATGTCCTCGGGTGAGGATAAAAACAAATAAAATAAAAATAAATGATGAGCAAAAAATATATAAAAACATATTATATTGATAACAAAAAAAGTATTTAAAATGTCTTTTAGTGCACCAATATATAAACTGTCTTGGTTATTCAAGTACACTTATGTCAGATGGAGTGATGTCGACCTTTACTCATTATAAACTAATTTCAACATTCGTATACCAAAAAGAAGGTTTAAAGTGATTACAACTGAATAACTAAATTTACTAAAATAGAAGGGGAAGGAAGAAAATTAGAAATACACAAAAATAATTTACCAAATAGAAGTAAATGCAAGATAAAATACAGAAAATTTCATTAAGGTAGTATAGTCTTATAGGATATAAATATAAAAAGCATCTCATCTACTGTAAATATAGCTAAAATAAAAAGAGCTAAATATGTTTATTCCATATCTGCATACCTCTATGATGTCGTTCATTTTTCCCCAAATACTAGTGTCACTCTAATTCTAAAGACAGGAGAGGGATTTTTTGAACTCAGATTATTTAAAACTATTAAGCTACTTTTATGTCTCATTAAATATATATATTAAAAATTTAATACGTTATGGTTTAATTCCAGTTATCAAAGAAGATGTTTTACAAAATAAATACAGTACTGTACTAAATCAACAACAACAAAAATATTTCCTTACCACTTTCACAACATAGGGTGCATCACTGCCCACTGATTTTGAAGAATTCTTATCGGCTGTTTGAAAAAAGTGACATACGTAATATCAGAACAAGAAGTAGCATCATTATAGCCTGTTACTACCCTTTATTAACATTTAGGTCTGTATTATCAATAGCCCCTTGATAGAATAAATTTCTGTTCCCAAATGTGTTTCAACATATCATTACAATACATATCATCAACTACAAGATAATTTTTTTTCATGTTTGAGCATGTCTGAAACTGGAATGTATCTTACAATGGCTGGTATCTTCAATATGATCAATTAAGTATGAAAAACTCTAAGTTAAACCTTTAATTCAAAAGTATGTATGGCCTCTGATATGCTCATGTATGTTGTAAATTCCCAAGACAATAAAAGATGCAATTTCTTAAATTTAATAAACTAGGGAATCCTTTTAAGTAGGAGTAAGAAAAGAGGGAGGTAAAGTTTCAAAGAGCACTAGTTTGGGGGGGAAAGAAACTCATTTAGACTCAGGATGTTGGCACCAGAACTCTGAACTGTCATCCAGAATAATTTATTTCATGCAAATAAAGATGTACAGTTGCCCTAGAACATTGAGTTAGAAATATAAGGTTGCCCGTATTCATTAAACAAATATTTTTACCAAGTACCTAGTATATGCAAGTTTCTAAGAAACTGATTTAGCAGTGAACAAGAAAAAATAATCCCTACTCTTATGAAGCTTAACACTTCGGTGGTAGGAGAGAGACAAGTAAAATATAAACTATGTTTGATGGTGACAGTGCTACAGGGGAAAACTAAGAGGAAAGGAAGGCAGGCAATGTTGCAAGAATAGGAAGAGAAACCTCACTGACAAGGTGTCAGTGGAGCAGAGGTTGGACTCAGTGAGGGAAGGAGCCACGTAAATGTCTGGGTGAAGACCATTCTGGGCCAACCAGCACCCGGGCCTGATGTGGAGCCTCTGACGTGTTTGAGGAAAGCAAAGAGGCCAAAGTAGCTGTAGAAGAATGAGTGAGGGGAAAGAAAGCAACAGGGGACAGACCAGAAAAGAAGCTGGGAGCAATCACAATGCGCTTAATAGATGACATAAAGCAGTCCCTCTATGAACAAGATGGAGAGCCACTGGAAGTTTCTGAGAAGAGGACTGGCAGGATCAGACTCTGCCTTTTAAAGAACTCTTCAGGATGCTGTGTGGAGAATGGAGTGCAGAGGGCAAGGCAGGGCTAGCTGTGCTCTGGGTGAGGGATGGCAGGGGCCTGAACCCGAGTGGCAGCAGACAAGGTGGTGGTAACTGGTAAGATTGTGGACATATTTTCAAAGAAGATCCAACAGGATGTATTGATGAATTGGATACGGAGGTTAGGCAGAAGAAAGAAGGTAAGGACGGATGACTCGAGATTTTGGCCTGAGCAACTGGAAAGAAGAAGTTGCTACTTGCTAAGATGGAGAGAGCCACAAGAGGAGCTGGTGCTTTGGGCTGTCTCAAGTTTGAGATGCTTACTTTTTTATTTTTTAAAAAAAACTTTTTTTTTCCTTTATTGACTTTAGTGAGAGGGAGAGAGATAGAACCATCAATGAGAAAGAACATTGACTGGTCGCCTCCTGCATGCCCCCCACTGGGGATCTGACCACAACCAGGGCATGTATCCTGACCAGGAATCGAACTAGTGACCTCTTGGTGCATGGGTCGACGCTCAACCACTGAGCCACACCAGCCAGACAAGATGCTTATTAAATATTCAAGTTAAGATGTTAAATAGGCAGTGGATATACAGGGTGGGGCAAAAGTATGTTTACAGTTGTTCATATGGAAAATACTACAATAATTAATAATACAAAAATAAACTCTGTGTTTTTATGTACTTACGAGTATAAAGCTACTTCTGCTCCACCTTGTATGTCTTGAGTTTCAGAAGAGTGGTGCAAGTTAAAAATAAATGAGTGTCATCAACCCAGGAATGCTATTCACTTAAAGCCCATAAAATTGAAAGAGATCCCCTAGGAGGTGAGTGTAGAAAGAAAAGAAGAAATCCTAGGATGAGCCCTAAGGCATTCTCACATTAGAAGTTGAAGAGATGAGGAGAGACAGGCAAAGGAAACCAAGAAACCACCAACCAACCAGCTGGGAAGCAGCTAGAACACTTCAGTCTAAAGAAGAAACACCAAGTTATAAAATTGGCTAAGGGGCAAAAGGAATAGCCAAGAAACATCACTTAGCTACTGAATTAGTAATAAGGCACAGTCAGATTTTTTTAAAATAAGCATTTAGAGGATAGTATAGTAATAATACTGTACAATTCAAATGAGGAAAGGGGGGGGGGGCTCAATAATTCATTCAAACACTATGTAGAGCAAAATATGCCAGGCACTAGGAACACCATTAAGAAGAGCTGTCCCGCCCTGGCCGGTTTGGCTCAGTGGTTAGAGCGTCGGCCTGCGGTAGAGACACAGGTTCAGTTCCCGCTAAGGGCATGTACTTTGGTTGCAGTTTGTCCCCGGCCCTGGTGGGTCATGCGGGTGGCAGCCACTCGATGTGTCCCTTTCACGTCGATGTTTCTCTCTCTCTCTTCCTCTCTCTCCCTCCCGCTCTATCTGAATAAAAAATGGAAAAGTGTCCTCAGGTCAGGATAATAAAAAAAAAGAAGAAGAGCTGTCCCATCATCAAGAAGCACATGTTTATTCTGGAAGAAGGAAAATTTCAATGCAGTATGGAAATATACTATGAAAAGATTAACACAGGGGGACCATAAACAGAGTGCCTGCCCTAAATTCAGCTTTGGAAAACTGAAGCACAAGAATCACATATAAAGATCAAGAAGCAAGGAGAGCATTACCACTAAAGCACAGATTTGGGGGATAAAAAGAATGAAGATAAAGTTACATTGGAACCAGAACTGTACCAGGGTCTTGTATGCCATTCTCAAAACTTTGGCGCTTTATCCTAAGGACACCAGGGAGACATTAAAGATGTTTAAATGGAAGATCATACGATCTGATTAGCAACCTAGGTCACTTAAGCCACAAATGTGAACAATGGAATGCAAGGGGACAAGACTGAACAGAGAAGCTTCATTGCTACAGTGAGAATCCAGACAAGACATGAAAATGACCGGTACTGATAAGGTAGCAACAGCAAAGGTGGAGAGAAATGAATCGATCTGAGGAGTCACTCGGTTAAAGCAACAGAACTACATGAAGTACTAGGGGTATTATTGAAGAAATAATTGAGAATGCCTTCCCAGTGTCTGGCTTGAGGTATGTCATTCATTCGGACAATCCTCTCCTGATCACGAGAGGATCAGAAAATGGAAGAGAATGAGGCCACTGGCTATAGATAAAAGGTTCTGAGAAGAGGACTGGCAAGATGACTCTGATTTGGAAATCAACAGTAAAGAGACAGTCAGAGAAGCCATGAGACTGAATGAGATCACTCAGAATATGCAGAATAAAAAGTGAGCCAAAGAAGGAAAGCTGGGGAACACAGAAGTACCTATGAGAATGACTAAGCACATCCAGAAGTATGAGGAAAACCAGAGGTGAAGGTATGTTGTCATGAAGACAGTTGAAGCAATTTTTACAGTACCAAATGCTGCAGAAAATACCCAAAGAAAATTCAAAAGCAATCTGTTTAATTCATGAGCAGAAATTGCTGATGATCTTCACTATGGCACTTGTGGAGACAGAAACTGGAGGCAGTATTAAAGCAAACCTCTTCTTCAGGTTGATAATCCAGTTTTAGAATAGTAAAGTTTTATCACAGAAATCTTTCAAACCATTAAATACAAATATGAATAAATAGCTAGCACACATACAAAGCAAGTTCCAAATTTGACAAAGGTTACAAAAACAATGTAACTAATGCAAAATTAAGAACCTGCTTATTTGAGGATAAGTTCCCATCCCTACTATGGGATGTTCTAAGCCATACATTCTGCAAAGAGACAACTTAATAACATACCATGTCTAAATTACAAGGTCAAACAATATATGCCTGGCTAATAAAGCTACTTAGCTTTCATTGTTTATGAAAATCTCTACCTTAAGTCAGATAACCTAGTTCACTGGAATGGGTTTGGCTCTAAACAAAACTAAAGAATCACCCTGGCTGGTGTGGCTCACTAGTTAGAGCATCAGCCTGTGCACCAAAGGGTCATGGGTCTGATTACCAGTCAAGGGCACATATTTGAGTTGCATGTTCAATCCCAAGCCCCGACTGAGGCACATGCAAAAGGCAACCAAGGGATGTGGCTCTCTAACATTGATGTTGATCTCTCTCTCTCTTCCCCCTGCCCCACACTCCCTTCCACTCTCGCTAAAAATCAATGGAAAAAATATTCTCAGGTGAGGTTTAACAAAAAAAAAAAAAAAGAATCAATACCTATTTCCCACTGACCTAGAGGAATTATATTTATTAAATATAGTAAAGCAGGGTTTTTAAGCTACATGTCATGAAAATACCTCTAGAGACTGGCTAACCAACTATAGTCACTGGTCATGGAGGAGGGAGAGGAGGAGCAGCTGCTCTTTTATCTATGTCAGGGGTTCTCACACTTTAGCATGCATGGGTCCTCTACTGTTTCTGATGGGCAGGTCTGGGTGGGACCTGAGAATCTACAGTTGAAACAGGTTTCCATGTGATGCTAATCTACACTATAATATCAGTATTCTGAAAAAGATATCGCTTCAAAGAGAAAAGGAGTTCCACTACTAAAAATAAAATTTTATTAACCTCTAGGCAGAAATAAAATAAATAAATGATGGATTAACTGAATCAAGATTAGAGGTGGAATGAAAACACAGAAAAGGTAGCGAAATATCAAAAGCAAAAATGAATGTACTGTATTACTATAATATTCTTGGTAAAGCAGACAGTTTTAGAAGTAACCAGGTAAAATATTTTTTAAATCAACAATTTAGTTAACCTGCAGAATCTCAGAGTTCCACAATAGATCCTCCAAATTTAGCATTTGAAAATGCTAAATAATACTACTAAATTAGGCCTAATCTGAGTTTCTATACCATTCTCCTAATTCCACAATGGTGACTATAAGGGTTATATAGGAAGAGAAAAAAATCTACAACTGAAAATTGTCAAATTAAACCAAAACAGAGGGAGTAAACCCTAATTAGGTTGAGGTAGGGGGAAAAATGTACATCAATTTCTTTGCATCTCAAAAAAAATTTAGATTATAAGAAATGCCTTAAAAATCTAAGGCCACAATGCTCACTAATTACAATATTACATGTATTTTATCTTCTTTTTCTACTGGAACTAAATCAACCATGCACTTTTCCACACCTATGCCAGAGATGCATTTATGTCCAATCATACAATATTAAATTGATTACAGATTATCAAAAACATCCTGTAAAAGCTCATAACTGAGAAACTATTTTGATAAGAAAGCACATAAATCTTTGGCTTGACAATTCATTAGAAGTAGTCATGCACTTACCAAGATATATACAACCAAAGCCACCTTGGCCAATGGGTAATCCTAGCTTCCATTCCTTTTTTGCCAAGTCAGTGATTACCTCCCCCGCTGCAAATTGTTCTGCAAGACGTCTCTTTGCAGGGCCCCGTCTTTCAGCTTGAGCTGCTTTAACACGAGGCATTTTCACTAAAATATAAAACAAAGCAACACTCAGAATTATAATCCTAGAAGTGCTCAAAACATTTTCCATTAACGAAAGCTGCTGTGCAATACAGATACTATTCAAATTCCTAACTCTAAAACTTAACATCTGTTCTAATTTATAATCCTACTGGATTATCTCTTAATTCTGGAGAGAAAACAATAAATAAAAATGATCTATACGATTACTCTCAAGAAAATATTTACTTTAAAGTTCCAGTGATCTAATATCATCTATGACTAAAAATGCTACTTAACAACAACAACAAATGCTCCATGAAGTTGACAGGGAAAGGTGCATCCAATTAGTATGCACTCTTTATCATACTGCAATGTGTTTATAAAGGTCAATACCGATGTGATAAGAGCACAGCAGATATTGAAAACACAAAACAATTAACACGAGGGGAAAGGGAATGCTTTTTCTGAAGTTAAAAAAGTCAAGATCAAAATGAAAGGTCACACCACATACTTTACAAAAATCAACCCAGGATGACCAACACTAAGACAGAACTTAATGAAATTACTGAACTTAACAGTAAGAGAAAATATTCTCTGAGCACTCAGGCCAAAAAATATATTTTATATAAAAAGTAAAATCAGATCGTCATCACTGACAGGAACACTTTATGCCAGAAAAAAAAAAGGTAATGTATTTAAGACTTGAGGATAGAAAACATAAACAGAAGACTTTATATTCAGTTATATTTCAAGTATAAAGATTTCAAAGTGTGCCCTGGCCGGTTTAGCTCAGTGGTTGGAGCGTCAGCCTGTGGACCAGAGAGTCCTGGGTTCAATTCCTGCTAGGGGCACATACCAAAAATTTTTTCTAAAAAAGATTTCAAAGTGTTATCAACATAGAAAAAGGAAGTAAGAATCTACTACAGAACAAGCCTCAGATATCCAAAATGATTCACATAGGAAATGTCAGTGAGCAGTAAATAGATATTTATTTGTAGAAACTGAGACTCAACAAAGGCAATAAAGGAAAAAACAGAATATATAATGGCTATATTCAGATGTAGTACAACTTGAAAAATCAGAGAACATATGCAAAAAGGTAATTATCCAGTAATGATATGGTGGTGATACTTGGTTTTGTTAACTAAGGCTATTGTATGCACAAATGTGGAATAATGCAAATGAGTAATTATGTGATATTTTAATTCTATCATCCCCTTGTATCCTTAAAAAAAAATCAGGATTTAAATATGGAAGAAAGAGAATACAGAAAGACAGGAGAAGGTTAAATGCTATATGTTTGGAAATATTTTTAATTCAGAAGGTATCTTATCTTTACAAAAACCATTCACACACACACATACACCTTTGTATTTACTAACTCCATTCACAAAAAAGCTTGAAAACAATAACCACCCCAGTAGCAATGAGCATCCCTGGGACCAAAATTGTATTCTTGAAATACCATCATTTCTTATTAAAAGAAACCAGGTTGGAGAAATGACTAATTCCAGGTCTGGAGCTGTGAATGAATGCACAATGTAGACTTGGAGTACCTGTATTTCTACATGTCAAGGAAGCTATCAAAAACTACTAGAGTTATGTCAAATATGTCTAAGGAGTCAGCTTGAAAGATGTTCCCACTGACCAAAGATGGGCCAATTTGTGTCAATAAAGATAACAACCACAATGGATTAAAACATATAAAATGAATACATCCAAGAGTTTGTAACAGTAAAAAATGCTAAGTGGTCATCTCAAGAGGATAATAGAAAACCACTCAATTTTGAAAAGTGGTAAATAAAGGGCAAGAATCAAGCATTTATCCTTTCTTCTAATATAAATTGTACCACTGGTAACCCATAGAAGGTGAAGAGAAATTTCTCCTTACAGAAAAATTTCAGCTAATAAATGACTAAGAATAGTTTGGGTTAACATTTGTCCCTCCTGATTAATTAATGAATCCAGACACTGAGCCTTAACAGCTACAAACATTAAAATATAAGATATCCAGGCATAACATGCCTCCTGAAAAAAGAACATACCACTTCCCATGAAGCAATGTTGCCAAAAAAGAAATAAAAAAATAAATAGACCCTGAATCTGATCAAGCCTACCAATTCACAGGCTCTGAAGAGAACAAACAACGTGACAAACTGTAACACAGAAAAGCAATCTGCACAATCCTAACTGTGGAAACCCAGTACACAGAATCCCATTTTCTTCAATAAAGGAAAAAAAGAAGAGATGGGGGAAAACAAACACACAAAAGTAGATTTAAAAGAGTATTCTGCTAAGCAAAATAAGCCAGTCAGAAAGACAAGTATCACATTATCTCACTTATTTGTGGAATATAATGAACAAAATAAGGTGATGAACAAAACAGACCCAGAGACATAGAAGTAGGGTTCAGACTGACAAACCTCAGAGGAGGCGACGGGAGGGGGGCGATAAACCACAGAACTTAGGCATATAAGCATAACCGATGGACACAGACAACAATGCTGGGGGGAAGTGGCAGGAACGGGAGGAGGGTGTCAACGGCAGGGAAAGGAGAAACATCTGTAACAAAAATAAATTAAATAAATTTTTAAAAAGACTTAAAAATGGCATATGTAAAACAAAACTAAATCAGGCAAATCTGAGCTACGGTGTTTAGGGATGCACATTTGAGTGATAAGACTATAAAGAAAAGGAAACAACTACCGCAAAAGATAGAAGCTACACTGGAAAAGCATGAGAAAGTTGTGATTAAGATGGGGCACATAGCTGGCAAAGTTCTATTTCCTGATGTGGGTGGTAGTTATAAAAGTACCTTCTAAGTCAGTAAGCCTGTATTTGGTTGATAAGGTGTTCTGTATTGGTAAATAGTTTATGGTTTTAAACATTAAAAATGTACTGTTCCTAAAGGGGATCAAAACTAAAAATATTTTCATATTCCATGAGCTTGTCCAATCACACAAACAAAAAAAGGAAGAGCCCTGGCTCAGCAGTTAGAGCCTCGGCCTGCAGACCAAAGGGTCATGGGTGCAATTCCCAGTCAAGGCACATACCTGGGCTGCAGGTTCAATCCCCAGCCCAGTCAGGGCTGTGCAGGAGGCAGCCAATCAATGTGTCTATCCCACATCAATGCCCCCCCCCCCTTCTACTCTAAAAATAAAAGGACAAATAGCCTCAGGTGAGGATTAATAAAAAAAAAAAAGGAAGAAAGAAAAGACCCCAAGTAAAAGCTGTACTTCATTTCCTGTGAACTACTGGTAGTCTTTTGCTTTTTAATGTAGAGGCACTTCTTATAGATTATATTAAAGAAATTAGCTCTTTGTATTGCAAATATTCTTCCCAATTCATCTGTCTTTCAATATTGTTTATTTTGAGCTTTTGGATTTTATATCATCCTTAGACCTGGCCCAGTCAAATTACTTTTTCAATTACCTCTCATGTTTATTTTAGCTGTTTTATGGTTTCATATTTTGCTGATAAAATTCTGATTTGTCTACACACTTATAATGGTATAAGATATAAGGCAGGAATACAACTTTTTCCAGATGATTATCCAGTTTTTCGCCACCTCAGGGCACCCACAGTGTTCAAGGAACTTATATAATACCAACACAAGTAAACTAAATATATCCATCAACAGAAAAATACATATAATAAAATGGATGAACCTCCTAAACATTGTTTAGAAAAGGAAGTTAGACACTAGACAACATGCTGCATGATTCACTTACGTTAAGTGTAATAACAGACAGAACTAATCCATGATGACAGAAGTCAAACAGGGATGCCATTTGGGGGAGGACATGACTCAGAGCTGGCAGAGGAAAGTTTCTGGGGATATGGTAATGCTCTATATCCCAATCTGAGTGGTACTTAAACTGTGTGTTCACTTCACAAAATGTAATCAAGTTGTATGCTCGTGATTTATACCGTTTTTTTATTTATGTAAAATTTACACAGTAATTTACACAAATCTTAAGTGTTACAACAGCCAGGGTCCAGTCAGGAGATAGAAAATACACATGTAACTTAAACAGAAAAATTTAACATTAAAAATTGTTAATTTGTATGCCCTGACCAGTTTGGCTCAGCGGTTGGAGCGTCGGCCTGCAGACCAGAGAGTCCCAGGTTCAGTTCCCGCTAGAGGCACGTACCAAAAAATAATAATAATAATAATTAATTTGTAAAAGGTAGTGAACCACTAAAAGGGGTAAAAGAGAACTCTAAGAAATAGGTATAGCAAATGCAGGAAGCAGTTACTGCCCACAAGGCTAAAGCAGAGTACACAAAAGGAACTTCTCATGGGATAAGCTGTGGCTACAGCCCACTGGGTGGCAGAGTCCACAGGAATCTGCCCATTGGGGTACTGTGGGAGCAAGAAGCTGCCTAATGGGGTGCTAAAGAACATCATGGAGAGTAAGCCTGGCTGGCGGCCACACCTTCAGAGAGAGAAGGAAAAAAAGCCAAGCACACTGCAACACAGAGAAGTCTTTCCCACTATGCCTTGCAGTGTCCCTCCCTCACCCCCTACAGACAAAACCTAACATTGTGCTGGAAAGGAAAAAATGTTTACAGGATCTAACTCAAGTATCACAAACAGAGCAAAGAAAGGTGAATCTGGAGTTGGGAAGCAATAAATTGACAACCTGAGCAACAACCACCTGGATCAAGACATAGGCAACATTTTCATCACACCATAAAGGTGCCTAGAGCCCTTTTCCTGCCAACACACATTCATTCTTTTACTTCCAGCTTATTGGCTGGGCCCCTCGGGGTGTGCCACTTACTTTGGAAAACACTGATCTGCCCCCTTTGTCTGCGATCTATGTCTCGGACCCGAGAGTCCCTTTTCAGCATCCTCCCATGCCCCTATCTGACCTTCACTGCATTTGGCAGACCCTCTTTATTTTCTGGTTCAGGGTTACAGAAGCTTCCTAGTTTTTAGAGAACATGAAATCTGTGTTTCTCAATCTCGTTGTTCCTTTTCAGGTTATTTCTGAAAAGAAAACAAAGTAGAATTATTAAAAGCCCAAAGTCCCAGCCCTGGCCAGTTGGCTCAGCAGTTAGAGTGATGGCCTGAGAACAGAAGAGTCGTGGGTTCGATTCAGGTCAAAGACACATACCTTGGTTGTGGTTCGATCCCCGGCCCTGGTTGGGGTCGTGCAGGAGCAACCAATCGGGATCTCTCACTCTCTTTCTCTCTTCTGTCCCGCCCCCATAACTCTATCTGAAAATCAACAGAAAAATACCCTTGGGTGAGAATTTAAAAAAAAAAAAAAGTCCCTGCTCTGAAACTATGATAAATAACATAACCATAGCATTTGCTTCAGTAAGTCAGTGAATTCTCTAAAGAACTTAAAATATTAATTTGAATTAAACAACTGCATTAGTACCTTATAGGTTTCTTCTTATAATGAACCAATACCTACATTAAGATATCTATTAAAGAATACACCAGAGGGCACAAACCTCAACCAAATTAAATCTTTCCACATAATTTCTGCCCACTTGGAGCAAAGAAAATTCATTGCTATGATAACCAATCCAACAGAGATGTTTCAAAGAAAAAGTTTACCATCATATATAACCCACTACATAATCTGACATTTGAAATGAAATGCAGATGCAAGTGAAAAGCACATCCAAATGCAAATCAGCGCTGCCCTTTGCTGAAACCACTCACTGGTATATTCCATATTAGCATATTCACCAAAATTTAATTGTAAACAGGATGATTATGGTACTAAAGTTATTAAATACACAAAGCAAGCTTGGAACTATACATATTCAAATAGAATTTCAGTTGCAGATCAACTTTTATATCTGAAACAATATCCTAATTAATAGTCAGCTCTGATAATAAAATGGTCCTATTTTTCTGATAACATTCCCAAAAAGTTCTGCTATGAATATTAAAATAAAGTTTTGTGAAGAGATTTAAAAAATTTCAGTAGCTATATTTATCACAATATAGTACTGTATTTGGACAACTGGCATTTTTCAAGTCCTGGATTCAAATTTAGAACAATTTCTTTTTTATTCTTCTGCTGAAGAGAGAAAAAGCTTGAATTATTTAAACAATTCCACTTACACTTAATGAGCTCTATGAACGCATCACGCCAAACTGGAAAATGACAATGTTGTGTAAAGCTTGCTACACACTGGATGCCTAGTCATAAATTTTCCCTATAATAGGTATGTCCATAAATTCCGTTGAGAGGGTCATATATTTTCATGTAGTTTTCTTTAAGGTCATAAGCTTCTCTGATGTTTTTAAAGTACTTAGACACGTGGATTCAAGGATATTTTTGCATAAACTGCAGTATTCACCATTCCATAACATGGTACCAACAGTCGTATCATCCCTCTTCACAGTACAAAGCTGTTTCTTGCCCTCCCCCATCTACATGTACTGAAACCTTTCCACACCCAAATATCTGTCCTCCTCAGCTGGATATGACCTCTGGCTTCAGCACTGTTCTTACCTCTTATTGCATTTGATAAATGTTTCCTTTAAGTTTATAAGCTCCCTGAAAAGAGAACTGTCTTATAATACACTACACTTGGTTGGAATTCAAAAAACGTGTAAAATTAAACAGCAAAAAATTAAGGTTTTTTTCCCCTTTAAGTACCAGACATCTAACTTTACACTTAATGAACATCACCCAACTACAGTGGATGTAGCCACTCCTTTTAAAAGCCCAGCAACTAAAATCTCTTCCCACTTTCTACAATGTCTATGTTAAGCCCTGTTTATTCTCCTCAGAACTAGAATCCACCTTCCCAACGCGTAATTCTCAATAAATGACTCACCTCCTAGTTTACAGAGAAAAAAACAAAACAGAAGTTTCAGGGGGGAATTCCTTACCTTACAAGACTCAAACTTTCAAACCACCTGTCCCTACGTGAAGCCCAGCTTTGCACCCATCCTGTCTTCCTTCTCTCCTATCATCACAATCTAGGAAAGCCATCCTCCTCTATCAAATACCAGGTCCTCTTTGCCTTGTGTCCCTCCTCCTCTGACCTCCTCCAAACTTAAACTACTAAATTAACCTTCTCTCATATACTCAACATCTCCCTCAACTAGATACTTCCTATCGGCTTTTAAATATGCTCATGACTTACCCATTTTTTTTAACCAAAGAACTTATATGTATATATGCATAGCCCATGGACACAGACAATAGCGTGGTGAAGGCCTGGGGTAGGGCAGGGGCTGGGTGGAGGGGAGAAAGGAGGAGAAATTGGGGACATCTGTAATACTGTCAACAATAAAAAATAAATTTAAAAAAATGTTTTTAATCCCCCCTCCACTATCATCCTAACTATCTTCTCCCTCTCCATGCCCAATGTCTTAATAACTGTCTATACTTACCAACATTTCTTTCCTCTTCACTCACCCCATAGCCCCTCCACCTGGACTCTCCCTTCATGAGCCCACTCTAACTACTCTCACTACAGGCACAAAAGCCCACTGACACTCTGCACCACCTCATTGCCTGCCCAGCAGCACTCATCCATCACTGCTCCTTCTCTTCCTTTGCTGTCACAATACAATACTATCCAGTTCCATTCTATTGTTTAGGCCACTCACAGTCTAGAAACCTGGGGAGACACAGCAATGAGTAACAGCTCCTTCTTTCAAGGCGTCTGTTCCACTTTTTGATGTACTAGTTTTCACAGTAATGAATGAAGATCAACTGTGAATATATGAAGAAGACAAATAATGGTGTGTTCGTTCATTTACTTACACAATAAATATTTATTGATAATCTGCCATGTACCAAGCACTATTCTTAGACCCTTGTTATACCTCAAGGAATAAAACAGAGGTCCTGCTCTTTGACATTTATACTCCAACAGAAAGACACAGATAATAAAAATAAACATAATGGATAAATGATCTAATATTTTGGAAAATGTAGGTACTACGCTGAAAAATTAATAAAATAAAGCAGGTCAAGGGGGAGAGAGAACAGAGAGTGAAAGTTGACAAGGAATAGCTTGCAGTATTAACAGAGTGGTCATGGTCGGCCTCACTGAGAGGTAAGATCTGAACAAAGACTGGAATGAGGTGAGGAAGTTGGCGAGATATTGTAGGCAGAGGGATAAGTAATGCAAAGATCCTAAGGTAGGAGCACGCCAGGTAACTAAAGAAGAGTAAGGATGCCAGTGTGGCTGGTGTGGAGTAAGCCAGGGAAAGGAGAACTCAGAGAGCTGACAAAGGAGCAACAGATCGAGTGAGCCCTGACGCCACTGTAAGGACTATGACTTGTGCAAAAGAATAAACACACTTCTTTTGGAACAGGTACTATACTTGCATTTTAATTCATAATACTTCAATCAAAATAAAAATCATACTCTGAACACTTGAATCAAACATTCTCCCACTGACCAATTTCTCACCACAGTTTTTACATTTTTTTATAGTTCTTGCTAAAATGTATTACTTAATTCTCAGAATCCATTCCATCTATAAACTGAACTATATAAACTTTATACAAACCCAAAATTAAGTGCCTTTGTCACTAAGTCACCTTAGGGTAGAAATGGGTTTGTAATGGATCAAATTCCATTCCTAAAAGTAAAGGATAGGATTAAGCCCTATTCTCCTTTTACTTAAATATACATAATTTGGTAGTGCTATTCTAGAGTGAATGGTTTACAACTTTTTAACAAGAAACATAACTTTCACCATGTTATACCCTTTTAATTTAAAATAAAAATAATATTGAGTCCCATGGAATTCTACATTACAATCTGTAATGCCTGCTTCATTAATTCATTTGCTCATCAAATATTTACTGAACACATACTTTGTGCCAGACTGTTCTAGAAGATGGGAATAAAGCAGTGAACAAATCAGACAAAAAGTTCTGCCTTCCCTGAGTTTAACATTTTATTTAGGAGAGACAAACAACTATTTTTAAAAAATTAAAAATATGTGCTATGTCCAGTGGTAAAAATTGCTAAGGGAAAAAAATAATAAAGTAGGGACAGGGAGTTGGGGGCAGGGTGGGTGTGAAATTTAAAAAATGGTCTGGTAAAGCCTCATAAGAAAGTGGCATTTAAAGGAAGACCTGAGAATAAAGTAAGGGAAGCTAGCTATGCAGCTATCTGGAGGAAGAGCATCCCACATGAGGAAGCAGCAAGTACAAAGGCCCTGAGGCAACAGCGTGACTCACTTGTTCCAGAAACAGCAAGAAAGCTGGAACAGCTGGCAGGGAATAAGCCAGGCCAGCACACTGGCTGACATCAGAGATGTAAAAGGGCACCGCGTGGTGATCACATCCAACACACAGGCCATTGTAAGAACACAGACTTGAACACTCAGTGAAATGGGAAGTCATGGGGAGGTTTTGAGCAGGGAAGTGTCATGTTCTGACTTGTGTTTTTAAAGGATCATAATGCATCAAACAGACCGGCAGCAGGCAAGGCAGAAACAGCTACCAGTTTACTACAATGGAGCTACTACTGGAATAACCAATGCATCACTCCTTACTGAGTAATAAGAATGTCAAGTTTTTTAATAACTAAATTTACTTTTAGCCACTAAACAGAGGGTTACAGAATAAACTAAGAGGTTTCCTTTTCACACAAGCTACCCTCCCCCACAAAAACAAGTCTTCAGTGCCAAGTAGAAACAATTGATATTAGTGACAGATGGTCCAGGACACATGCTACTCACATCTTACTCTAGATGTCCTCAGCTCTGTCTTTATGGCGACTTACTTCACCAGGAAATTAAATACTTGAACCATTCACTCCAAAGGCATTTATAAAACACCTCTGAAAGATGTGCCGGAAACTGTGTGAGGGGTCGGAAATAAAACATGAATGAAACGCAACCCTGGACTCAGGAAGCTGCACTAGCTGCACGCAGAACCATCACAGTTATAATCAATATTATACCATCAGCTCCAAACAAGGGTCAGTAAAAAGCCCTCCAGGTAAAAATGCTTCTGAATCCTTGATAAAACTATTTATTAAAGACTGAGCAGTTGTAGACATGTACAAAATCAAACTCTGTTAGTTTCATAGTGGGAAAAAGTGCCTCTTTCAGTAACATAAGTTTTTAAGATATTACGAGCTATGAAACTCCTGTTTCCTCTTTTTCAATCACTGCCAGAAAGAGCAGAGCAGAAGTATAAACTCTATTACATAATTACCCATTGTCTGAGATGGTACTTCTCAATTTTGGCTATCCATCATAATTACCAGTGGAACTTTAAATAAAGGCCCTACTCCACCAGAGCCCAGCATCTGCCTGTTTTAACACTGCACAGGGGCTGTGAGGCCCAGACTAGACCACTGATGGAGGTACCTTGGTATATCTGCTTTCTTGATTAAGTCATTCGATTCAATGTAACAATTCTATTATATACAACTCTACTGGATTGGATAATTTTAATACAAGCCCCCTCTAGCAGTTCATTTTAGAAGTTGGTAAAATATATAAATTAGTGAAGGAATGTCACAGAAGGAGCAAAAACAACTGCCCTTTTTCCATTCTATTACATCCCAAGACAAATAAGTTTGTATTTCAAATTTATTTGGGATTAAGAAGTAATTACATATTTTGGTGTAAATGGCTTCCTACCAAACTACAGTAAGTTAAAGGATAAAATCAAACAAGAGATAATGGGTCAACAAAGAATTCCATCACCTCTTTTGTTAAATTACATCAGGAACAATCTGAAAGCTATACATCTTAAGACAATTCTCTTACAAATGAGCTAGCTAATCAGAAGTTGATTAATGCATTTGATTAGTGCTAAGAGATCATCTGAAAAATAAAATACTGAATCTTAAGTTTATATAGCCACTTCCCAAAAATACAAAGGGTCTTCATATATTTACTTCATTTTGTCCACACAAATCCTACAGTTGAGACAAAACAGTTAAGGATACCCACAGGAATAAAAATATACTATTACCAATGCCATTTAACATAAAAATCTGAGAGACACAGGAAGGTGAACTGTGACTTTCTGTTAGGGACACCCAATCAGACCCCTGGTTTCACTCAAGAGAACCATGCCTATGAATAAAAGCATGAAAAACATTCATGCTATATGGTACCTTTAGTAACATTAACAAAATAAGAGTCAAACACAACACAACAAACCATAAGAGTACAGATGTGAACCTCCCAAAATAATGATCCTATAAAGTCATAGGTTTATTCCTGAAAAACATTAAGCTAAACTCAAACTATGATACAATCTTTGAAGCAACTGTCACACTTAGTCATGTTTTCACACCTAAGCTGGAAAGAACTAGGTGAAGACTCTCACTTCTAACTCTGAAAAAGGAAGTGAATATCTCCAGAGAAGAAAAATTCCTTTCTAGCCATAATTATTTTTACTTGTATTAGGAAAAGTGACTGATGTTATATTATAAAATGTGTTGGTATAGTGAATAAAATTTTTTAAATACAGTATCAAATATACTTCCTCAACTTTCATTTCCTTTAAATGCTATCTAAAGGAGGAACACTAACTGCAGAATTAATTTTTGCCTGAGAACCTGCAGTGTGGTACGATTTCATTTTCCAACACGAGCCCAACATACCTCACTGCCACCACTTCCCCCCGAACGGAAGGTTCCGTGAAGGCTCTGCTGTTCACTTCTCTTTCTGAGTTTTGATGTAGAGGGTAAGTGATCCATCCCTGGAGTCCTAACAGGTCTCCAGAAATCAACCATGAAGCAGACACTGAAGTACATTCATTCATCGATCCCCCGATACTAGAAACCAGAAACTTCTGCTCTGCCTATGCAAACGCATCCCATGGAAGAGGGGAGCCAGTCTAAAGACAAGAACTTCGGAAGGCAGTCCCTAAGCCATCATGCGCTATCCCCCTGGTGTGATAGCCTCATTATGATTCCCTTTCCACATTCTTTGTGAACAGCTCAACATGTTTTCCCCAAAGGTACAGAACAGCCTACCTGCATCTAAAAGTATTTTCTTATCTAGATGAGGTCATCACACTATCCTTTGACCTGAGTCTAGGAGAACACTCAAACATAGCTTCTTGAAGATTCTGGGGAACCAGCCTATCCACATACTAAAAAAATTATTGCAGTACTCACCCTTTTCTCATCAGATATCCTGGTTGTTGATGGTTTTGAAAATTTATACACTGAGAATGGAGAAATGAAATGCATCTACAAAACGAAGGAAGGGGGAGAGGGAAGACAGATGGATGGATGTGGACTTCAAAGAGATGTGGCACCTGCCTCTTCACAAGCCCTAAAAGAGCTGAAAGAAATGCTTCTTTATGTAAAGCAAACACTTCCTAGAGTTAGAAATTCTACACTATATTGTCAATATTCTTATATAACGTTTAGCATATTTTGATAGTTCTGTACAGGATAGATTTCCCATTAGTTCTCCTACTTGAGTAGGCAGAATAAAGAACCAAACTCTGTTTACAATCACTTCTCGGGTGTTCACTACTAAGTCTATCTGGGACAACTACTGAGAACTGTTTCTCCTTACAGTCCTGCAGCAGGCTCAAAGGGAGAACATTTCTGACCACTCTAAAAGGAAATTAGGATTACCAAATAACCAAAGTATTATCAGAAGTGTACTACAGTCATTAAAAAATTACTGATGACGCCCTGGCCAGTTTGGTTCAGCAGTAGAGCGTTGGCCCACTGAGAGTGTTGGCCCATTGACCAATCGGTCACGGGTTTGATTCTGGTCAAGGGCACGTACCTCAGTTGCGGTTCATTCCTGGCCCTGGTCGGGGCTGGCGAGGGGGGGGGGGGGCAGCAACCAGTTGATATGTCTCTCTCACATCAATGTTTCTCTCTCCCTTTCTCTCTCTCTCTCTCTCTCCCTCCCACTCTATCTAAAGATAAATAGAAAAATACCCTCGGGTGAGGATTAAAATTAAAAGTTCTTGATGAAAACATAACTTTTCAGAATTTGAGACAAGGTTTTTTTAAGAAACACACAAAATAAAACACTCAAGACATAAGGAAAATTGCTAAATTTGACAAAATAAAAATTCTCCAGATAAAAATCACTATAAACTCAAAAATAAAAAGTATCTACAAAACATATGACAAAGGCTAATTTTCTCAGTACTTAAAAATCCTTTATTATAAGGGAAAAGACAAAAGAAAAAAGAAAAGTGACATGGAGAGACAAATCCACAGAAAAAGAAATACAAATGGCTTTTAAAAAATTCTTAGTAGAAGAGTTTTTAAATATATATAAAGTAGATGAATGATACAATAAACTCCCATGTACACATCACCTAGTTTCAAAATTATCAACACATGGCCATCTGTTTCTTCTGCATACCGCTGGCCACTGACCCCTCCCAAGATTTTAAACCAAACCCCAGGCATCACATCATTTCTTATGTAAATACTTCTAACAGGTACTCTGTAAAAATCTAACCACATGTAATTGTCACACCTAACAAAATTAATAATTCCTTAATATCTAATATGTTCAAATCTTAACTGTCTCAAAACATATCTTCTTACAGTTGACTTCTTAGTCATTGCATCTAGCTGACATGTCTTTAAATCTTTAATTGACAAATGCCATCTCCCTCCTTTATTTTTCCCTTCCTCTTGGCATTTGTTCTTTAAAATTTCCTACATTTTGAATTTTTCTGATTGTGTCCCTATATTGTTACTTAACCTGTTCCCCTGTAATTTGTTGCTGCTCAAATTGTCCTATCTCTGATGTCAGAGCCAGCCCTTCAACCAAAGACCACCCAGAACACCCAGTAAGCAAGTTGGGAGAAGACACACCATGAGGACCAGTGGGACATACCAGTAAGAGAATGTTCTCAAGACTCTACTATAGGGTTTGAGCTGTTTAGGTAATTTGGGGGAGGATCTAGGGAAGCAGAGCTTTCTCTAAACTGGATGCTGTCAGAAAGTGGGGTCATTTTATGCTTGGGTATCTCAAGAAATTTTTTCTAAGGGAGAAGAGCCTGGTAAGGAAGCAGCGGTCACTCATTTTGGCCAAGTATTTAGTGGGTGGCACAGCACCGTTGGTCTTATTTGTGCTCTGTCTCACTTTGTCATGCGCTCGGAGAAACCTCGTCTGAAGTGTGCTGTGGGACTATCTACTTTAACTGGAGAAGAACGTGATCTATCTGTGAGGTCATGCCAGCTTCTGAACACCACCAGGGCTGCTCCTTTCTCTCTTCCTTTGCACTAGGAAACAGAAGCCATTCAAGTTGGCCCCGTGTCCTTCTGACATGACTCCAACAGTCTCAGGTATTCTCCTTGCTTTCTAGCACAAGACCTTCGAGGTTCCTTCTACACGTATGCAATGGTCTCAAAGATATAGTTAAGTAAAAAAAAGCAAGGGAAGAACCGTTAATATAAAGCATTTCTATCTATATCGAATAAAGACCCTAATATGCATATGCCACATATGTATAAGAACCTCACCATTTCAATTAAGAAAAAGAGAGGTAACCCAATTTGTTTAAAAATGGGCAGCCCTGGCTGATATGGCTCAATTGGTTGGGCATCGTCGTGTGGACTGAGAGGCTGTGGGTTCGATTCCCGGTCAGGGCACATGCCTAGGTTGCGGGTTCCATCTCCAGTGGGGGCATGCACAGAAGGCAGTCGGCCGATGTTCTTTTACTTTTTCTCTCTCTCTCCCCTCACCCCCTTCCTCTCACTCTAAAATCAATAAAAGCATGTACTTGGGTGAGGATTTGGGAAAAAAAAAATAGCAAAAGACTTGACAGGCAATTTACAACACAGGATATCCAAATGGCTAACAAGTATATGAAAAGGTGCTCAAATCACTAATTATCAGTGAAATGCCAATTAAAGCCACACTGGGATCTTCCACACAATCACAGAATGGTTGTAAAAATGTTTTAATGTTTAACTGACACTACCAATTGGAGGCAAGGCTGCAGAGGACCTGGGACTCTCACTGGTAAGAGCAAGAATCGGTACAATCACTTTGGAAAATTGTCTGGCAGTATATATGTATTAAAGCTGAAGACACACGTACACTATGCCAGCAATTCTACCCTTAGACAGATACCAACTGAAATGAATACATGTGAACCAAAAGATATGAACAAGAATGATTACAGCAGCATTATTCATAACTGCTACAAATTAGAAACTATTCAAACACCCATCTACAACTGAATGGATAAATACATTGTGGTATATAATTTGTGATGGTTTTAAAAAACAGCCAGAAATTTTTTGACACACCTCCCATGAAGACGTGAGGTCAATGTTCCCTGCCTTTGAATCCAGGCAGGCTTGTGTCTATTTCAACCAATAGTCTAGTGAAAGTGACGTAATATGACTTGTGAGGATAAGTCACTCTCCTGGAGCTTCCTCTGGGATCCCACCAATATGCTGTGAAAAACCAAGGCCTTGTGGAGAATCTGCAACCAGGGCACGGCTCACCTTTAAAGCAACAACAGTACTGGTGATAAGATGTAAGACTTATTCCCCAAACAGAAAAGAAAGTATATGCACTGAAGAAATTATACCACCACTTAATCCCCTATACATGCAATGTCCAGTTTAAGCTTGGCGTCTGGATTACAAGGGCCCAGAATGAAAATGCAGGAGCTCATTTCCAAATGGTTGTGACTTGATCCAATACCAGACTGTGTTCACCTGGCACTTCTTAAAACTCCTCTCCTCCTCAACAGAATCTCTGCTTCTGGACACTGACATTAACCTTCCCCTGGTCGTGTATGATCATCAACTCCATTACAGCCTTTTCAGTAGCAATATCTGAACACTATCTGAACAGTCCACCAAGGACTCAAAAGTTGCAAAGAAACAAAAACAAGTTTCAAGTGGAAATTCTGTCTCCACTAAAACTGTTTTATATACACCACTGGGAAAATAATATAGCCACTTAAAAAAAAATGTGGGTGCTCAACAATCCCAGATGAGCCTGGTCTTCAAGACATCCCAGCCATACGTGTGAGTGATAGAGCAGTTAATGATTCTAGACCCTAACTAATCCTAACCCAGAGTCCATGAGCAGAATGAAATGGTTGCTGTTTTAGTCCATTAAGTTTAGAATGGTATGTTATGCAGTCATCAATAACCAAAACTAATATGTTATGCAATAATAAATAACCAAAGCCAATATAGAGCTATTTAAAAAAAAACCACACACACAACAAACTACATGCAACAAATGGAGTATAATTCCATTTATATGTGAGGTCAAAACTAAGCTGTAAGTATAAAAATCAGAAGAGTGGTTACCTTGGGTGGCCGTAATTACTGAAAAGGGGACAATAAAGGCTTCTGGAATGCTAGAAGAGTGAATGTCCTGATCTCGGTGGTGATTTATAATGTGTTTACTTTGTTAAAAAAAAAAAAACATTGAGTTAGATACTTAAGATTTGTGCATTTTTTTCCAGAATGAATGCTATATTTCAAAAATTAATCAGTAAAACTGGGTGACCCAATAGAGGTAAGGGCGTTAAGGAGAAATAAAGATGACTCCAAGTTTTCAGGCATGACGGACTCCTCTCATTTTCATCCTACCTTTTTGCCCACTCCCTCTTGGTCCCTTTGTTGCCTCCTTTCTACCCAGCTGCTCTTAATATTGGGATTCCCCAAGCTTCCAATCCTCTATACACACACACACACACACACTCTCTCTCTCTCTCTCTCTCTCTCTCTCTCTCTCTCTCTCTCTCTCTCTCTCCCTCCTATATTTTCTCTCTCAGTTGAGGACGTCATCACCTACTTGTTCATTTAAGCTAGAAACTTCAGAGTTGACCAAGACTCAGGAATGTAGTTAACTAACTACAATAAAAAGAAATTTAAGTCCGGCCGGTGTGGCTCAGTGGTTGAAGGTCGACCCATGCACCAAGAGGTTACCGGTTCGATTCCCAGCCAGGACACATGCCCAGGTTGTGGGCCTGATCCCCAGTGGGGGGACATGCAGGAGGTGGCCAATCAATGTTCTCTCTCATCGATGTTTCTCTCTCTCCCTCTCACTTCCTCTCTCTCTAAAAAATCAATAAAGGGGGGGGGGTTAAAAAAAAAAAAAAAAGAAATTTAATAGGATAAACAAAAGCTCTCATGGTTGGACTCCAAAACTAATGTATAAAAAACAGATGAAGAAGATATGGTTTAGATAAACCAAGAGATTTTATTCAACTCTAGGTGGTCATCAAAAGGATACAGCTGACCTTAAGAACAGAGATAAACCACAGAACTTATATGCATGTATGCATGAACAATGGACATGGACAACAAAGCTGGGGACAGGGCAGGGAGGGAGGGTGAGGGGGGAATCAGTATGGGGGAAAGGAGAAACATCTGTAACAAAAATGAATTAGTTAAAAAATAAATAAATAAATGAACAGAGTATGTAGAAGAAAGGTAATATTCTGTCCTATACTCACAGAAGTTCTATAACTAGAATAAGAGCCATGCCTAAGTATTGCACTCAATTCTAACCACTACAGTTTAAAAATGGAATTTCATCAAAGGGAAGCCACTATTGTGGTAAACTGACAGGAAATCATGCCTTCTAAGGAAAAACTAAATACATGGAGATGTTTCAGTTCAGGACCACTGAGAAGACCTGACAACCGTCTTCACCTATTTAAAAGGACATGTGGAATAGGAGCTCAGCTTGTTCTACATTGTCTCCAACAGACAGAATTGGGTGGAAAATAAGAAAACAGACATCCATGCAATATAAGAACTTAATAACAGTCAAAATTTATTAAAAACAAGATAGGCTGTCTCTAGAGGCAGTGGTACTCAACCAGAGACAATTTTGTCATTCTCCCTCCACCGCCCCTGCCAGGGATAATGCTGAACAACCTAAAATTCAGAGAACCCCCCAGAACAAAGAACAAACTGTCTAAAATGTCACTAGTCTCATGGCTGAAAAACTCTAGAGGTAGAGTTCCCTATCATTGGAGGCATTCCACTGTAGACTATAATGTGAAAATATAAGTAAGGTACATGACTTTCGATAATAATGGGAAGTGAGTTTTACAAAAAGATTATCTGGCCCTGGCCAGTTTGGCTCAGCGGTTAGAGCGTCGGCCTGTGGTCCTGAGAGACCCGGGTTCGGTTCCCGCTAAGGGCATGTACCTCGGTTGCAGTTTGTCCCCGGCCCTGGTTGGGTCGTGCGTGTGGCAGCCACTCGATGTGTTCCTTTCACATCGATGTTTCTCTCTCTCTCTCTCTTCCTCTCTCTCCCTCCCACTCTATCTAAACAAACAAACAAAAAAAGATTATCTGGCCAGGCTGGTGTGGCTCAGTTGGTTGGGTGTGTCCCATGTACCAGGAGGTTGCCATTTGAATTCCCAGTCAGGGTTGTGGGTACAATTCCATTGTGTGTGTGCAGGAGGCAGCTGATGGATGGTTCTCTCTCTCTCTCTCTCTCTCTCTCTCTCTCTCTCCCCCTGTCCCTCTCTCTGAAATTAAAAAACAAACAAACAAAAAACCACATATTTAAAAAAACAAAAAACTACCTGTTTCAGATAACTCTCCAGAGAAAAACAGAGATGTTAAAGTGATAATGATGATAAGCATTTACAGAACACTGACTGTGGGCCATATAGTCTATCAAGTGACTAATGTACATATTTCAGTTAATTCTCACAACTACCCTATGAAACAGGTATTATTTTACCTTGATTTGATGGTAAAATTGGTTGCCCTAATGTCATACAGCAGTCAATATCTGAACTCACACCTACCTAACTCCAATTATATACATCACTGTCCAAGCCATAAATATTAAATGACTGTCAAAGCTTTTGCACTCTAGACAACAAATTCTAGAAGTAGCAGGACAATATCTGAACAGGTTTATACTCATTGCAAACCTAGCTGGCTAGGAGAAAGGGGAAAGTATTATTTGAAGTAGTCCTGTGATGAAAGAGAGAACAATTATCCTGATTGTCCCCAATTGCCTACTTCTGAAAGAGCCAAGAAGCTCTTATATACCCATGGACTCTCAGTCAGAAGCTGAGATTAATGATGACATCCCTTTATCCATCGGCGTGAAAGCGCAGGATGGACAGACGTTTGAACATCCCCGACTGGGAATCCTGCCCTTAACAAATACACTAGATGCAGATACATGGTTTCTTGGCTGCCTACACTCACGCCCATCTGTCAGGATGGCACTGTGCCTGCTCACATGTTGGTCAAACTGTCACCAGGGCATAGGTGCCAAGCAATGAGAGTTGTAAATGGGCAGCTTGCATAGCACTGCAAGAGCTTGCTCTTCTGCAGAAAAATTAATTCTCTGTGATAATACTGAAGGGTTGCAATCAAGTGAAATATTCTTGGTCAATCTCAACATTTCAGTAGGAAAATAAAACTAGACTGGTGGAAAAGAATCAGACCAAGGAAATTAAATCAAATAGAAAAGGTACTTTGAAGACAAAAATAAGTGATTGCCCTGAAACTTTTCACACTATCAATCTTTCATTAATACACGTCATGGTAATCTCTTATTCAATCCTTTGCTCAACAAGTCAGCATTGATTTTTTAATGGGATAATACAGTTTTCCATGCTCTAAATTAAAAAGCAGAAATGTATTGATATTTAGTAGTCTGTCTGACATTAAGTAAGTTCTATTGGTTGAGTGGTTATTTTTTAAATGACAGAAGTCTAATCTATATCCAAGATAGTCATTTAAATGCACAAAAGAAAGCAGAAACCAAATGAGATTCCCACAGATAAACAGAAAAAAAGTATAATTTGTTCGGGGAAAGAAATCAAGAAGTGACGTGGGTGTTAAGAAAAAGAAACTGAGTATTTTCGGTCACAAAAAAATTAGGACTAGAGGGCTGCCACCTGTCACATCCCCCTGACTACAATGTTCCTAAACTATGTCTAGGTTCCCATTTTACCGTTAAAGATCCTTTAGATCACCAGCATGAAATATCTAATGTCCGTATTGCCTGCAAATGCATCCCTATGACTAAAACCCTAGTGCTGCTGTTTGAGCCATTTGTCCTTATTCAATCCTCGGTGGTTCTAAAGAACAGCTGGTCATCATCATTCTCTGCATAGTTCTTCATATACAAGTATCAGGACACACTGATTAAATAACCCCCGAGTCTCCTCTTTGCTATAATAAATAAGAGCGATTCCATTAACTTTTCCTCTTTGGAGCAATTTATCAACCCTGTTTTTATCATTTCGGTTGCTCACCTCTTGGACCCTTATTAGGCCTGATAAGAAATGTCATCCACGTCAATGAGCACTCCCCTCCAAAAAAAACTGCTCTTCTTCCCACATGTACAACTTACTAAAAGTAGCATTAATATGAAGGAGTTTGAAAGTCTAGCAGAGTTCTCAGTATCCATCACTGAAGACAATGGCAAAGTCTAAAATCTATCATTATTCTTCTATGAAATACTAGGAGCTTAATATTCTGAAGTGGCACCAGTTTTTTAGCTTTGTAGAAAACATATGTTACACAAAGTGGTAAGTCCAGTGAAGGGTCATGGTTACAACCTGCTCTTCCAACCAGACTATTACTGCCATACATGGCCCTAAAACAACTTCTCGAGTATCATTTCTACCAAATCATTTTCCTGCTCAAGAACCTATGGTATCTTCCTAGTAGCCAAAGAAATAGAGTATAACCTCTACTCTCTAACCAGCAGTTTTCCATACTCATGAACCAACTATCCTTCCTTTACTTCCCTCCCCCTTCACTCAATTACTTCCCACAACGGCCAATTCTGACCTAGTTTCTCTAGGACCTATCTTTGCTCATTCTTTTCTCTAAATGTTTTCCCACTTCATCTCAAAACCACACTTACTTTTACCAAGACTCAAGCCATGTCATACTTTCATAAACCTATATTAATTTGCATACTTAATTGCTTACTCATTTCCTGTCTTCATTCTGATATGCAGTTTGTAGTGTATGGCCAACTGGTTTTTTAATAAAGGTAAGTAAAATAATTTAGCAGAGAAAGGGCAATCTTTTTAACAAATGATTTCGCAATAGCTGGACATCCACACACAAAAGAAAAAGAAAGAACCAAGACCTAAACCTCATATGCTATGTAAAAATTAACCCCAAATAATCCTAGATCTGAATGTAAGACATAAAATTATAAAGCACTTAGAAGAAAACACAGACCATCTTCCTGATCTAGGATTAGGCAAAGAGTTCTGAGACATGCATGACAATGAAAACACAATCCATGTATACTTTTGTGCTGCAAAAGACGCTGTAAGAAAATGAAAAGACAAGTCACAGACTGAGAGAATAGATTTACAAATTATACACTGGCAAAGGACTTGTATTCAGAAAACATAAAGGACACTCTA